GAACCCACCACCTTAGGTGTATGTGGCTGGCGCCTTAGCCACTTGAGCCACAGGCACCAGCCATAAATTTCTGTTCTAAATCACCCAGTCTCAGGTATTCTGTTACAGCAACACAAATGACTAAGACAAGGGGGGGTCCCCCTAGGCTGTTATACCCTGCTCTCTACACTTTGGGGCCTTTCATCCCTGTCCCTGGCTTCTAGAGGACTGTATACAGGGGTGTCCAATAAGTGCATTTTCCCTCACTTCTGCCTTCCAGGTCATCTCCATCTTCAGGGAACTAGCCAGACTGGCCCCAGATGGCACTCTGGCCCCATCCCAGAACAAGTCCTCTTACCGTCAAATGTTCCTAAATCCTCCCAACAGCCCAAGCCAGCCCCCCACCCCTCAGTGGGCATCTTGGGAACTGGCTTTAATTCAGTCCACTTTACTTTAGCCAAAGGAGGCTGTGCCTCAGAGGATTATGTCTCCTGAACTTCCCTGCTCCTCTCCTGGCCCCCAGCTGATCTATGAGATGGTGGGAACTGATCATCACATTCGTTCCCACCCTGGGAGTGGGCAGTGTGTTTTGTCAGCCCCCAGCTGTCCATCCACAGCTAGGACCCCAGGCTGGGATTTAAGTTCCAGCATAGTAGCTGTGTGGCTCAGAGAAGGTCCTTGCACCTTGTTCTTCTCTAAAGGGGACTGTCATGTTTCCTCCAGGGGACACTAGAGTGGACAGATGCTACACCTCCAAAGCTCTAGGCCCAGGTCTCACACACCCCATAGTCTGGGGTATTCTGGGGTGGTGGTTAGTACCAGGTCCTGGGCAACTTGAGCAGCATGGGCCTGGAGACAGCCCAGAGCCCACACCTTGACCCTGAGGAGGAACTGCTGACTGCCTTTGTGTATGATCCAAAGACAAAGATGTTGTGTAGGAAGCAGGTGTCGAGGTGCGCCATGCTGCCAGAGGGCTGGGCAGTGAGTGCCTCCCTCCCCCTTCCCAGCCTGACTTCCCTCTGCTAACACATACTTGGCCCTCCTCACCCAAGGGCCTGTGTGATCTCATTTGCTGTGTTCTCATGCCCCAGTATTTATGGGCATTTACTGTACCAGACACAACCATGGGATCCCCCAAGGAGGAATTATCTGTAGGCCGGGATGGAGATGCCCTGATAGCCACCAGAGCCAAGGGGATACCCCCTTGCTTGTCTTGTCCAGAATTCTTTTGCAGAATTTTGTCTGTAGCCCAGCTCCCCCTGGACATTCAGGGCCCCCTACGGGAAGTCTGTCATTCACCTTTGTACCACTGCTCTGAACCTGCCCAGACCTCTGACCTGAGACAGAGTCTAGTTTGGGCAACTAGGGCCCCTTGGTTGTCTCTGGCTGGGGTACTGCTGCAATCAGATAAATTCCTTCCCAAACATTTATTAGGTTTCTGCTTATAGAGTAGGCTTCCTCTTCCCCGTCCCAGCCCCAGTGTGGGAGGTGGGATGGTCCCGTTGAACTGTCCAACAGCAAATTCTTCTGACCCCAGTGGAGAGGCCCCATAGCATGGGAGAAAGAGTATGGACCCAACTGATGCTGTTGGACTCTGAACCCAGCTCCCCAGCTAGTTGACTCCTCTGTGCCTCAGTTTTCTCATCTGTAAACTGGACATGATGATACCTACCTTGAAAAGTGTTGTGGATGGTTAATGAGCTATGCCTGGGAAAGTACTTAGAATGGAGCCAGGCATGCAGTAAGTGCTCAATAAATGCTTGCCATCTCAATGTCTATCTTAAAGCCCTCTCAGCACACTGGAGCTATGTTGTCTCTTAAGGACCAAGGCACTGAGGGTGGCGGTGTGGGTTAGCCTCAGACCCACAAGTAGATAGTCACTGGGACCCGCACTTGAGACAGACTAGGCTGAGGAATGAGGAAGCCACAGGGCTACCTCTAGCCTTTAGAGTGCCTGGCAGCCTTCAGGGGGTTCAGAGCAGAGTGTAAGTGCTGTGGGCTGAGGTGTAGACACCAGTGGTCTTTACATTATCAGACAGGAAACTGGACTCAGCATGCACCTGATGGCCATCAGATTGGGAGGGCGCCTCTCAAGTGCCCAACGGACACTCAGACTCCTGTGACCTCGGCCCCATCCAGCCCACCCTGCCCGTGAGACGGTTACTGGTGTGGGGTGGTGAAAGGGTTCCATAAGCTGCCATCAGTACACCCCATCACAGTGCCAGTTTTCCCCAGTATCCAGCTTAACAGTGCCTTGCTGCGGCAAAGGGCTCTTGGGTCTGTGGGCAGAGACATGTTCCCCATGGGTAAGGGAGGAAGCATCCGCCTGGAAATTGGCACGCTCTTCCCAATGAATATCCCCAGCAATTTCGTGTGATGGATACCAGTGTCATCCTCATTTTAAAGATGATCTGGCAGAGGCAGAAAGAGGTGTATTAAACCACTTGCCCAAGCCAGTGTGTGCCTAAGCCAGGATCCAAAGAACTTGCCTCACATCAAAGACCTAGACTTTCTTTTTTTTTGAGACAGAGCCTCAAGCTGTCCCCCTGGGTAGAGTGCC